GGGCGCGGAGCGCGTGCTGGTGAGAGCGCGGGGCGGAGGCCTCCGCGTGCGCTACGACGAGGCGCAGCAGGAGGTGGCCATCGCCGCGGGGGGCGGTGGCGCGGTGGACGTGACAGCGCCAGCCTGCTTCGGTGCGTACGGGACCCGGGCGGGCAGCGCGAGCCCGGGGCTCGCGAGGTGACTGGGGAAGAGGAGGTCCCTGGCAGGGCTCAGTCAGGGAGCACACTTCATTTAAGGCAGCGGTTCCCAGTCTGTCGTACGCGTGCGAACACATTTATTATAATTATTTTTATATGACGAAAACGTGCTGGTGGTACTTAAGGTTGCGCCACTTTTAGTTGGCAGTGGGCAAGCTGTCAGACATTGGGAGCTGCTGCTGTAAGGAGAGGGTGCCAACCTGCACTTCGCTGCTAGGTTGCTGTCCTCCTTGTCTTCCCTGGGGGCTGGAGACACAGACTGCGCTTGTGGTTCGTTCCATTGAGGACCCATCTGTAGTCCTTACAAAACCAGGAAGAGTAGGTTTGCTGGGGGATGCGCTGGACCTGTTCCCAGGTTGCAGAGTGGTTTCTGCATGCTCTGAGGTCAGGTAGGTTTTGTTGTAGTCTGGTCGTAGCAGCTGACCAGGCTACAGCCTCAGATACCTGCACCCCTTTTGGAAAGCTTCTGCAAAAAAGGTGTGTGGAGCGACAGATTTGTTCAGATAAGTGAAACCAGGGCCTCTGAGGAACTATATGCGCCTGATGTGCCGTGTGAAAGCATCACAAACTTAGCTGTCTTAAATGCAGAAAAAATGAAGAGATCCATTTGCTTCATGACACCAAGAGTAACTGTATCAAACTTAAGAATCAAGACATGGCCTAAATTGCATGAAGTTTAAGAAGAGATCCTTTTTGTTGCACAATACCGCTTGTTCCAGGTTAGTTGGCTTTCAAAAAATAAGTACTCTGATGTAACATAGTAGCATCCCCAACAGTACTGTTTATAGTGGAGTTCATTTATTTACTGTACCCTAATGCTGGCGCACATGTAGACAGTGATACTTTACTGCAGAGCTAATTAGTCAACTTCAGTAAAGTGCGTGTGTAGATGCACCCCATGTAGCAAAGTCAGCTGGTAGATTTAAGTTGCTCATAATTCATTTTCCTTATCTCCTTCCTCACATGCTCTCTCTCTCTCATGCTATAAAGAACATAATCCACTTTTCTAGCTTTATCTTTTAGCAGCTGCCACGTTCTAAATGAGCATTGTTACGATCAGCCTCTCATGCCTACTGCCACTTGCCCCATTCTTTGGGATAGGCTGTCGCTGCTGAAACCTTAAAGACAGGCCTGAACCTTTAGTTTGCTTGAGATGGAAGCCCAGAATCTAAAGTGTCTCTGATTATTTCCTCAAGTTACACTTACCCAGTTATTAACTGTTACCCACCTATGAGCATTAACTGACTTTGCACCTATGAGCATTCTCTTTTTGGGAGCCCGTGAACAATAATGATAAACAGTAATACAAATGAGGACAGACTCCATGAGAAGTCTGCAGCAAAAATGGTGTAAGTTTGTATCTGAAGAGAATGGAGATGCATACAAGCTATCAGGTTTCCTTAGAGTGAGGGGAATGCCAAGCATAGGTCAGATGGTGTGTGTATAGGCCTCTTTGTCATTTTAAATTCATATATCTAAGCATTGCCTATAATACAGATTGTATTCTGTTTTGAGGAAGTTGCTTCTGTGTTACTTCATGCCGTTACTGTCTACTATAATAGGTACCAAGGCCATTGGTTTTGCTGATTAGTAACCAAGTAAGGTAACCTGCCCTGATTGTGTGGTCTTCTCTCAGAACTTGGATGCTATTTCAAGACAAGGGTGTGCCTGAGCCAAATAGACCATTAGGCTAACATAGTTAGGGCACTTCCATTTCTAGAGTGATGGAATTAGCATCATGCCCAGCTACCTTTCATACCTCAGCCTGAATGTCCAAGTACCCATTCATTGCTGAGGGCAGCCTTCAGCCCAATCTACTTCACACCTCTGAAACTGTAGTAAAAGACCTTCAGTAGCATGCTGCTGGATGCTGTTGTGGCTTGCAAGATCATCACTTTGTCAAAGAGTCACTGGTCAGATAAGGAATAGAACTGTGAGCTGTGAATGAGCATGACATAAAGTATTCTCTAGTGCAGTGATTTTTTTTTTCTCATTTATTTTGTAAAGTTTGTTTCCTAGGCTTCAAGGAAAAATAATCTTCCTCACTGTAGTATTTGATCACAAAGTCTCATTTTTAATTTTTTTTTAAATTCTAGATTTGGATATCAAGACATGGGGGACCGGCTGTGTAAAGGTTCAGAATATGGAGTGTGAGAACTGCAGAATAGAAACTGAGAAGGGGACTAGCATCTTACATTCCATAAAGGTAAAAGAAGTCTGTTTTCCCCACCTTCACTATTTTTAAAGCAACTGTTTATTGTGCAACACAGGATTCTGTAAAGGTCAGAATATGCTCGTAGAAGCAGAATGTGATGTGTGATAGTTAATTTTATTATTTTTAGTACACAGATTGTAATAGTCAAGTTAATAAATCACTTGATCCAGAGAAATACTGACCTCTGTTGAAGCTAGGAAGCTGTGAAATCCTTCCTAGAAGTAACAGAAAAACTCAATCTGTTGATTTTTCAGCAAGTGTAAAATACAAGTTCATCATCATGAGTCAGTGCTGCAAAATATCCTCCAAAACTTGTTACCATCATAAGACTTTTCCAAGATGACGTTACAGTAGCTGTCCTAAGCAATGCTTTGGAAACTGACCCTTTCACCATTAGAACTGGAATCGAGCAAGATGTGTCATTACACCATTTTTTCCTCATCCATATCGTAGCTATTCTGCATCTCATTGCTGGTAGACCTCCATCTCAAGTCAGCATCTGGCATTGCATGGATGGGAATCTCTAACATCAACCTGTCACATTCCAAATCCAACACCTCAGTTACTGATTTTCAGTATGCTGATGGTTGTGTTGTGTGCCCACTCAGTTGAAGAGCTCCAGGTCACTTTTGACTGCTTCTGTGAAGCATATGAAATGCTTGGACTCGCTGTCAACTTCACAAAAACTAAAATACTTTATCAGTCTACCCCAAACCATGTAGCTGCTCTCCCACATACTGCAATTAGAAGGTAGTCCTTGAAGAATGAGTCCTTGAAGGTTAAGCATTTCCCATACCTGGTGAGTCACTTTTCCCAAAAAGTAAACATAGATGATGATATTCCACACTGAATAAAATCTGCCAATGTTGCCTTTGGACATCTCCAGAACTGTGTCTTTGATTATGATATCAGGATGTAAATCATTTTTTTTTTTCTACCAAGTTGTCATCCCCACCGTGTTGTATGCATGTGAAACCTGGACAGTGTATCAGAAATACTTGAAAGCCTTGGAATGTACCATCAGCAATGTCTTTAGAAAATCATCCATGTCAATTGGAAGGACAAGAATGATTGCCTGTGTTCTGGCTCAAGCAAGCACCACTGACACTGAAGCCATGTTTATATAGCACCAGCTGTATTGGACGGGGCATGTCATCAGAATGCCTGATAACTGGATCCTGAAACAGATCCTATACTTCCAACCAGTCAGTGATCATTGTTTTGGAGCTGGGCAAAAGAAGAGATTTTAGGACACCCTGAAGGCCAATCTGAAGAAATGTGATATTGATATCAATACTGAGAGACCTGAGTGCTGAATCATCCCCAGTGGTGCTGTGAAGTACATCAAGGTATCAACCATTTTGAGCAAACTTGCCTTCCTATGGAGGGAATAGGTAAGAGAGAGAGAGAGGGAAAGATGTTGCCTGACATCACCAGGATCCATTTATTCCTTCTGGAACTGTATGCTATATCTGCAGTTGAACATGCAGATCTCAGTTTGGTCTCTTCAGCCATCTCTGGACTCTCTGACTTCCGTATCTACTGGAAGACTGTCATCTTCATATTGAGGGACTGCTGACAGCAGTCATCCAAAGGAGTTCAGTACCACCCAGGATCAGCCTATGCTCTAGTTTAATGTAATAGCAAATAAAGTTTTCTTTTGGATTTGTTTTTTTTCTTTCTGGGATCATATTTCTTGTTGGACTTTGAAATTTAATTTGATACATTGATGATACCAGTAGGGGCTTTGGAAGAGTTTTCGGTATTCTGGTTGTCACAGACCCAGCTGTGGGGTCCCCCTGTGGCCCCAAGTTTCTTCCTGGTATACTGCTGCTTGCCTTAAAGAATAGATTAATGTTTCCCCCAGGATGACTCATCATCCCCACAAACCTCGGTTGAACTTTTCCTCCGCCACAGCTACAACAGGGCAGACTCCACAGCTACAACAGGGCAATCTTTGCCAGCTCCAGAGTGTCTTCTCCAAGGTCATTCAAAATTTATGAGTCCCCCACTCTGTAGAAGAGGCATGTCTGGAATACTACTTGCTCTGAAATCACACTGTACTGCAGGCAGGCAGTTAGGCAACAAAATGCTGTAGTACCTAGAAGAAAAAAATGTACAAGGAAAAGTGAACCAGTCTGGAGGCAGAGTACAGAACCAAAAACAAACAGAATTTCTTGTCCTCTTTCCCGACTATAGCACAGTTCTTCAAAGTCCTGATAGAATTTTAGAGACCAGGTTTCATGCTGACCGATAGCTGGGAACCAGCATTTCCCGCAAGGCATGAGAACATCCCAAAACACCTTTGCCTCACAGACGCCTCCTAAATACCTTCAAACCAGCTTCCTTGTCTCTGCTGTCCTATCCATTTTCTGGTGACTGTCCAAATCCTTCAGAAACTTCTTTCCTACCTGGGGCATCTTCCAGGTAATGGCCCATTTCCCTGGAATATACTTACTGTGAAGCTAATATTTCTCTTTACAGGCAGATTGATACCCTCAGTATTTTGTGTGCCCATTCCAATAATAGCCCCTTCTGCCATGTGTCTGAGACTAGCAATTGCTCTTGTCCCTGTAATTAGCTAATAGTTTTGCCTTCCCCGTGTTCATTAGGTTTGATACCATAGTTCTTCTGATATATCAGTAACGATTAACTGGGGATCTGGTTATAACCTGTTGATTAAATCATGCTAGATGTATACAAAATTGCTAGATGCATACAATGTCATGTTCCATACAGCAATACGAATGATACTGACAAATACAGCTTACAGCTTTTGAAAGAGGAAGCATAAGGTTAGTTAAACTCAGGACAAATATCTCTTCATGAGACACTGAACTGCGAGATCTTTCCTACTTGGGGTGGGTTTGTGACACTAGTCTTCATAGAATCCTGCATTTTATGATGCGCAGATTTTATATGTTCACTGTCGGGTGAGTTATCTGACTTACTGTTAAATACCACATGCTGCATTGACATGATCCTTTTTATTTTGAAAATTTCAGACTTCACCACATCATGCTGCTTTAAGAATATTCAAAGTGAGTCCAAAGCTGGTATCAGTCAGAATTAACTATAGTTAAGTTAATGGAGTTACACCAATATACAGTTTGGAAGACTGTATTTCAGAGGAAAAATATATAGCAAGAAAAAACATGCCCAAATATGTGCTCAGATGCACTTACTTTAAGGTCCAATTACTTTTGGTAGATAAAATGCAACAGAAGAGAAAGGTACTCTAACCTTATGGTTTGTGGGCAAGCACTTCAAGGGATACTTGTCAGCTTGAATAGGAACAGCCTCTAAACCAGTGTTTCTCAAATTTTTCAGGGTCAAAGCACCCTTTATTTTTTTTAATGCAGTGGCACCCCTGGGTGAGAACCACTCTTGGTGCTACCTCCATTTACCTGAATGCTTCTTATGCAGGGTTTGTTGCTGGGGAAGGGTTGTACAACTGCAGTGAAACTTCCTCAGGCTGCAAAGCCAGCCCAGGAAGGGCTGTGCCATGCTCCTCCTGTGTTAGGGCTCTGGTCAGTCTAAAGCAAGCAATGGAGCTGCTTCATGTTGTGCAGCTCTTTGTGGTCTGGCATCCCTAATGCTCCTTCAGGAAACAGGCAGATGGGATAATTCTACCTGCACCTGTTTCTGGGAGGAGCATTGAGGAACAGATCAGAAAGAGCTGCACAGCATGAGGCAGCTTTGCTGCCTGCATTAGACTGAATAGACCCCTAATGCAGCAGGAGCACATAGGCAGTTTTACCTGGCCACTGCTGCTGCAGCATCCCTGATGGGGCCCTGCAGCATCCTGGTTGAGAACCTCTGCTGTAGACTGAATGAACGTTTTATGAGCCAGGGACTATTTATATTTTTGCAGATTTTATCTTCCCAGTATGTAGTTTTAGTAAAAGCTTTCTAAGAGTGATCTCTATGATAAACTCTACATAATGAATATTTTATATGATCTTTCAGAAATTTATTAATAGCTTTTGTTGCCAGAGAGCTGAGCAAATCTGTCTGTGGGTTAGACTCTGTTGGGCTAGATAGTATAGAAAGAGAGTAAAAGATGACCTGCCCCAGTGAGCTTACAGTCTCAGTGTAAAAAAATATGGGAGGAGGTATGAAGAAACAATTCTGCAGTTTTACTCAGTATGGTAGTCACAATGGCAGCATGGCTTGTGTTAGGTCACTGGAGGCACGATGGAAAAGGAAAGTTTTGAAGGAGGATATTAAGTTGGCTGTTCAGAGGCTTACAAGAAGAGGCTATAAATCACGGACTATATATTTGTTTCCATAAACCTAGAACTTAAAAAAAAAAAAAAAAGTATATTTTACTGTCCTTTTATTGACAAGTAATAAACGGCTAAAACCTTTGCCAAACCCAATATCCTTCAGCGCCAATGAAGACAGGCCTGTAAGGCCTGAAGTTGAAGCTTCCTGATCTTTTAGCTAGTTCCACCCCTGCCGCATCATGAATTAGAACTGCGTAGTGCCCAAGTCTACTGTAATCTCTTCCAGCTGACTGAGACACTCTTTACCTCTACCCCGCTTCCTGTCCCCTCAGAACATCAGAAGACCGCACATGATCCTTCCCCTCTTAAACCTGCCTTGGCTGGTCTCCTATGACAGAGGTCACACAGGAAAGCTCCCCACCCAGTGGAAAGTTCAGCAGTTTTTCCCACCAGAATAATACAAAGTAATGCCAAGAATTTAGCCCTGAATGAGGTTTTTCTCCTCTTTTTAATTAAATGCTTCTTAAAGAAGAGGGGAAAAAACAAGGAAATACTTTCAGAGCTGGATTCAAACATTTGCTAAAATGTAACTTGAACGTTTTTTGGTATACTAAAACCCCTTTTAACTGGAAGCTTTTTTTATTTTAATCTGAGACCTTTTTAGTTTTCATTTTAGTGGCAGTAACTGTGATCAGCAGTATAATGATGAGTGGATAAGCAAGACACAAGCCCTAGGTGCTGCCTAAAGGAGGGGCACTGGAA